GGGCGTGTCAACCCAAGAGTAATGACTTGTGGCCATTTTAGACCTGAGGTAATTTCAAACCAGCACAAGTTTCCATTTTTTCTCTTTATCCAATCTACTCTCTGTGTTCAGTTATTCATGTGGTTCAATTACTCTGAGATCTCAAGGGAGAGAGAAGGGATTTAAGAACGAAAAGAACCAACACAGCTCCGTATCTTCTATGGCATAGAATACATATATATAGGAGGTATGATGCCTCTGCTCAGCTCACATCACTGCAAATAATCCCGTGGTAAAGATTCCTAATAAGAAAGGGTCATAAAAAAAAAAAAAAAAGTGTATGTGTGTGTGTGTGTATGAGAGAGAGAGAGAGGGAGAAAGAAATGATTACTAAAATTTGAGAAATGAATCTCCTTGGAATAATATTTTCAATGAAATGGTTGTGGTTTTCTTCTCTTTTTGAATCGGGGGGAAATATTAATCCAGTTTCAATGAGGCCTGGTTCTTTTTTTTTTTTGCCCATTAGAAAAATCCAAAGAAGCATGTTTATCAGTGAGGATCCTCAAATATTCTGCTTTGCTCCATGCATGGTGTATTTTTCATATTTTTCTTCTAAAAAAACCTGCGATAGTAGGTTAACTTTCTGAACTAAAATCTTGGAACCTAGAATTCTTGGTATATCATTTCGTATACAGTCATATTGCAGTAATGGGGTTTGTTATCTGATGGAGATTTGTGAATTGATTCACATTTCTTGGAGTGGTAGCTTCACAGAGACTGTTCACTGGCAAAATATACAGATGTAGGAATTTCCGAAATGGAGTGAGGAAGGCACTATTCATCTATAAGTACTGGTGGAATTAGAATAGTACAGAAAGTAGCTAATAAGAGAAACAGAGCTAGGATGACAGCAGAAGGAAAAAAGCAAACAAAAAACAAAAACAAAAACAAAACCCCCAAACTCAGCTAGAACCAAACAGCTATTTCTCTGATCATTTAGACATAAGATCTTACCAACACTTGTGTGGATCTGGTAGGTTTTTTTTTTTTTAAATTTCTGAGAGAGAGAGAGAGAGAGAGGCACTGTGAGCAGGGGAGGGTCAGAGAGGGACATACAGAATCCAAGGCATGCTTCAGGCTCTGAGTGAGCTGTCAGCACAGAGCCCGACACAGGGCTCGAACCCACAAACTGTGAGATCATGAACTGAGCCAAAGTCAGATGCTTAGCCAACTGAGCCACCCAGGCATCCCTGGATCTGGTAGTTAACCCCAGAACCATATGTGGCTATATATGTTTAGTATTTGTAAATATTTTACTCTTTATATTGTACTCTCAAGTTCATTTGCAGTAAGTATATAAACTATAATAAGCAATTCATTTTATACCAGGAGATCAGTGAATCTCAAGTATCTTTTACTTATCTTTATTGAATTCTAAATTAAAAGAGCCACTTCTGGTGTTAAGGAGAGGAACCTAGCGTTGCAACAATACCCGGGATTCGTGGTCTCGCCACTTTGAAGAGTGGAGAGGTGGACACAAAATGAGCAGCAGGCAAACATTTATTAGAGTCTGAGATTCGAAAGGAAATAATCAGAAAGTTCTCTTTACAGAGAGGGGACGTTTGAAGGTGACTGTCCAAGGACTCTAGGCAAGGGTCCTTGTTCTATAAGGTTCTGGTCAGCCAGCAGACCCCTTCCCTCCCCCCTCGCTCCTTCTCGGTCCCATCCTTATTGGCTGGATAGTTCTAGGTGCTGGGTGGTCCATTCCCGATTGGCTCGATTGATTCGCTCGTTTCCATTGCATGAGGGGTGGTCTATGGCCCTACTTAGGTCTTTTGTAAAATTCCTGAGGGGAAACCTGAGGAGGAGCAGATGGAGTCTGTTACATTCTTAAGAGGAACCTTGAAGGGGTTTGCTGTGGTCAGACACTCCCAGCATTGTTCCATGATAGGTTCCCCCCCACCCCCACTCCCACCCCCACCCCCGCAGCCCCCAGGGACCTCAGGATCTACTCTTTCCCTCTCTGCCTACAGAACTCTAATTGTCTCCTATCATACTAGTCGACCTGCTTCTGTATTTTTTTTTTAAATAGGCGCTATGCCCCATGTGGGGCTTGAACTCAAGACCCTGAGATCAAGAGTCACGTGCTCTACAGACTGAGCCAGCCAGGTGCCCCTGGCTGTATTTGTTTTAAGTGGATAATAGTGGCTGTGTAACAAATTGCCCCTAACTTAGGAGCTTAAAACAACATTTATTCACTCCCAAAGTTTCTGAGGGTCAGGAATCGGAATGGCTTAGTTGGGTGCTTTTGGCTTAGAGTCGCTGGAGGTTGTTGTCAAGCCGTTAGGTTGGGGGACTGTGGTCACCACCAAGCTCTCCGAGGGCTGGAGAGTTCACTCCCAAGCTCACTCATATAATCTTCAGCTAGTCTGTTACTTACTGGTTGTGGGCTAGTGACCTCCATTCCTATGGGCGTCTCTGCAGGCTTCTTGCATATTCTACCGAGTGACCTAAGAGAGCGCAAGCAAGCAAGCGAGCACACCAGATGGAAGACAGAGTCTCTTACAATCTTGGAAGTGAAATACCATCTCTTCTGCTGTATGCTGTTGGTCATATAGACCAACTCTGGGTCCGGCGTGGAAGGGGATTGACTATACAGAGTGCATATCAGGAAACGGGTCACTGGGGGCTGCTGGGAAGCTAGTGACCATGGAGGCTATCGAATCCCTGATATTTATATCCCATTGGGTAAATGTAAAAGAATGACTTTTAACAATTTCTATTTGAAAAGTATTTACATTAGGCTGGAAATTTCACCCTTTCATCCTGATCAGTTCTTTTGGGGAAAGAGAATAAAAGCTTGAAGACAACTGCCTCAGACTACTAGTTCTTCTATCCAATATGTCCCTCTTATCATCTTCCTCTGACTCTATCTCCCCCCACATGGTGCTTATGTCTCTTAAAGATACAGACAATGATAAATCAAAGACAAACATCAAATTGGAATTTGGATCCTGATTTGTAAATGGGAGAGACTGCTTCGAATTCCTGAAAATCTGGGGCTTCTGGATATGAATAATAGATCAGGAGCTTCACTTGTAAGAAATGGCATTTATTGGGGCGCTTGGCTGGCACAGTTGCTAGAGCATGAGACTCCTGGTCACGGGATTGTAAATTCAGGCCCCACATTGGGCATGGAGCCTACTTTAAGAAAAATAAAAAAAAGGGCTGCCTGGGTGGCTAAGTCAGTTAAGTATCTGACTTTGGCTCAGGTCACGATCTGACAGTTCAGATTCTTCGGATCCTTTTTCTCCCTCGCTCGCTCTCTCTCAAAAATCAACATTAAAAATAATTAAAAATGGCATTTATTAAACAGATAGCTAAGTGCTTTCTATGAGCAAGACACTACAGAGCTGTGGGAGACACTGGAAGAATATAAGTGAGTATCTAATAAAGTTACAAGCTGGAGAGTATGGTGCCTGGATGTTCAGGAAAAAAGAAATTGTACACAACGGTCACATTTTTATGGGATACAATTTTATTTTTAAAAAATGTTTTATTTTTATTTTTGAGAAAGAGAGTGCGTACAAGCAGGGGAAGGGCAGAGACGGAAGGAGACAGAGGATCCGAAGTGGGCTCTGTGCTGACAGAAAAGAGCCCGATGTGGAACTTGAACTCCTGAACTGTGAGGCCATGACCCCAGCCGATGTCAGATGCTCAATTGGCTGAGCCACCAGAATACAATTTTTTTTTAAAGTTGTGTACAATTTACAGAGGCAAAATTCTGCTTCCCTTTGACTAGACAAGCCATCAATGTTTATATTTAATGAACGCCTTCCTCTGATGAACAGACCAGGTTCAGTTAAGCCAAAAATGCACAAAGCCAGTAACTATGGATAACGAGTGTTGGAAAAGACGCTGAGGTTTTACTGAGGCCTACCACAATGAACCTAAATTTAAACCATCGTTTGTGTATTTTATTAGGAGCTAGGCTTGAAAGTTCACCAAGCAAGGCTATATCCAATTCCCAACAATTTATCACTTCATAATGGAGAAAAAGCTGTTCCACTCGCTCTTAAGTGGGAAATGTGTTATGTCCTACTTGTATAAATTTTAGCTGAACCAAAATAGCAATACGCATCAAATGTTATTAGAGTGTTTTCTTCAATACTATAAACACTCGACTACACAGAGCTAAAATTATGCGAAGGATTGCAAAACAAGAGACAAACTGCTCTGGGAACTCTCCAAGCTAAGCTAAGTGAACCAAGCAGGGCTGACTTTTTAAAAAGCTGGCTGCAAGAGTCTAGCTCCTGTACTCACAGATGAGTTAGGGCCAGGATTCTCGTTTCTGTAAAAGCTTGCAGACCCTCTACCACAGCGGGGCCAACGAGAAAACGCGCGTCCAGAAGGCCCGGTCATTCCCCGCCGCCGAGACTCGTCGGTTACACGCGAGCCGGGCCGGACACCCCACTTGCGTCCGGGACGCTGGTCTCCAGGAGGCTGGCGCGTGGACAGGGCTTCTCCCGGGTCAGACGCGGGGCCGCCTCCCTCCGGCGTCCCAGGTGCTTCGTGGTCGGGTCATCCCCTCACCCCCCCCCAGGACACCCGGCCAGGCGCCCCTCGGAGTCCGCCCAGGGCGCTTTCTGCAGCCGTGCAGTGAACAAGGTAACGGGATCCTAACCCGACGAAGGATTCAAGACGACGGAGGCAGCCGGACGCGCCTCTGAGGGCCCGGTCGCGAGCTCCCGCCTCCTTCGCGGCGGTCACCCGGGGACACAGGCGAGGCCCGGATGGGTCGAGTCAGGCCGTCTCGGGCCGCTTCCGAGCAGGCGCCGGCCGCGCCCCTGGGGGACGCAGCAGGAGGGCGGAGGGGCGGCGAGGGGGCGGGGCGCCGGAACGGGGCGGGGCGAACGAAGGCCTCCCGGCATGCTGCGCAGCGCCGGGCTTCCGGCTGTGGGAGGTGCGGGGGGGGAGGGCGGGTGTCAGAGGCGGCCGGAAGCGGGCTGAACCGCCCTCCGCGAGCGTTGCCTGCGCTTCCGGGGACCTGGAGCCGAGCTCTAGAGTCTTCCGGTAGGCGGCGCGGGAGGAGAAGGAGTCTTGAGGGGCCGGGCCGGGCGGTTTCCCTTCTCTCCCAATGTGAGCAGTGTCTCGAGCCCCCCGTCAGGCGAAGGCTGCCCAGAGAGGTGGAGCCGGTGGCCGGGCCGGGAACATGAGGCAGTGTCTCCTCTTCCTGACCAGCGTGGTTCCTTTCGTGCTGGCGCCGCGACCTCCGGACGGGCCGGGCATCGGCTCCCCGCAGCGGCTCGGTAAAGACCCGGGAGAGTGGGCTAAGGCGCCCGGCGCCTGGAGCGCGCTGCTTTGGGGAGGTGCAGGGGAGCAGGACCACTCCGGTGTTTTGGGGCGGGCTACTGGAGGACGGTGGCGCGTCCCTAAGTTTTCGGTGCAGGAAGGGGGTGTGGCTCCCGGAGTTTAGGGAAGGTAGGAGGACCGGCTTGTCTTTGTGAATGGGAAAGGGATACTGGAAGGGCCCCCAGTGGTCTGACGCCCGAGTTTGTGTTTGGGGGGGTGTTTGAGAAAGAGAGAGGCGGGGGGGGGTGTTGGCTCGTGTTTGGGGAGGGAGATGTGGGCCGGGTCCCTGCCCTACTGAGGTGTTCCTACCGAAGCCGGGGTTGGAGGAGGGTAGGAAGGGCCCAGAGCCCCACAGCTCTCCCTGGCTCTCCAAAGCGACCTAGAATTTCGGCTGTAGGAGGTCCTTGCGTAGTAATCTGGTTGGAAGGCGGAGACTGGAGAACTCTTGAACTTGGGGTTTTGCGAACTTTTAAGCAGATACTTCTTTAAGTTGTAGCTTATTGGAGGTGCTGGGAGGGGGGCGCTTAAACCTACCAGGTCGACTCTTTGATGCTGCGTGGATGCCTTCCTTGCCATTTTAAAACAAAGAAATGATCAGGGATGACCAATTTGATCAGTTTTGAGTCCAGAAAGTAGAGGGTTCTCGCTTGGATTTTCTGAAGAGATGGGATTTTAAGGATGGACCTACATGAAGAGATGCCACGTTTGTGTCAACTTTCAGTGGGCTAGGGTCTTTTGCCTTCCAAAAGTTGACATGTAAGACAGTTTAATCAGTAATTACATATGAAACCTCGTTTTCCCAGTGTGCAAAGTTGATTTTTCATAGTCGTTTTGGTCCCCAGACCCCACCATGATTCCATATATGGTGTTATGAAGACTGAGATGCCTTGTGGGCTTTCTTTATAGCCAATTAAAACCTTCACGTTAGTTTACCTGGCGGTCCTTTTATTTAATGGGAAGAGATTGTAATTGACTGAGGATATTAAAGCTGTTGAGTGTCCTCACTTGAACAGCTGCTTTGTGGTTATCTCAAATTGAAATGGATTACAGGTGACTTTCTTTAATGAAAGACAAGGGAGCTTGTTAGGAAGGGCTGAGATGTGATAAGTCAGTACACACTGAAGGGAAATTTTCAGGTAGGGGTGGTCAGGATGGAGGCATAGGGTAGTGACCTACTTTGTATGCATAAATGTTAATAAAAGGAATGGGTATTTTGAGATATTAAAATTATATTTTCTCCAGTAGAACACAGCTGCTTCACTTTTATTAACACACTCTTGTTCATAGGTAGAAAATAAGAAGCAGGTGAATCCTAAGGGTGCACTGAGTGTGAAGGAAGACCTTACTTTCTAGATGAATCCTCCACAGCATTTACAGATCATAGAGGGTGTGTGTGTGTGTGTGTGTGTGTGTTTTGACTGTGTGCTTTTTATTTGTGAGGTGGCAACCACCAGTGCCAGAAAAATGTGTAGGCTTATCCATTTATTCACCAAATGTTAGAAGAACACGTACTGTATGCAGGTATCCACATGTGGCACTGGAAATAGGAAGATCAGATGATGTTTATCTTCAAGAAGCTTTTGCATTAGTGGAATAGAGAGATCCAAACAGATAATTCCGCAACACCATGGGGGAGACTGATACAGACCTCTTGGCAAGCATTGTTATCATGAAGAGGCACTGAACCGAGCCAGGGAAGGTTATCGAAAGCTCCCTGAGGGAGGTGATACCCGAGCCCAGACTTTTAAGTTAGGTAGGTGAAGAGGGAAAATAAGAACACTCCTGGTGGGGGCACTTAGAGACTGTAGAGTTGAAAGGAACCGTAGAGATCATGTTTTAGTTTTTAAAACAAAACAGCAGGAAAAAATGAATCTCAGAAAGGTGTAGTGAGGTGTCCCATTCTCATAGTGATCAATATATGCCTTGTGGGTTTTCTTTCTTTTGAAGGATGACACTGTGTGTGTGTGTTTGATGGCTTAGGATGTGATTAGTCGCTTAACCAAACCTTACTTAACATTTAGATTGAACTGGTCACGATCAAAGAATAGTTTTATAGTTAAACAGCATGGTTTATGGTCGCCTACTTATTCTATAAATGTTACTATAACCTCAGTATTACTTTTTTCTTTTTTTTAAAGTAAACTCTACCCCTGATGTGATGCTCAAACTCACAACCCAAGATCAAGAGTCGCATGCTTTACTGACTGAGCCAGCGACAACATTCTTTGAAGGATAGAAATAGATCTAGGATCCTGGCTTTTGGAGTACCCCATGGGACACCCAAGATGATTTGAATTGAACTGTTATGAATTGCATAATTCAGGAAAATTGAGTCATGTGAACTTAGTCATGATGATATCTTGTTGAAAGTTGCAGCTGGGGTGTATAAGTCTCACTCTGGTTTCAAAAGTGTTTTCCTTTTGTGTCACTTTTAATAAAAGAGGATGTAGTGGGTGGAGGGAAAAAATATAGGTCATAGATGAGGGATGAAGGTTTGTATCGGCAGCATTTTGAAATTTACCCTGAGGTTATTGGTGTGGGGATTCTCCATGTTGTGGTGCTTGTTTCTCATTATTGACCATTTTGCTCAATAGTTTGACATCTGGCTTCCTCTTTTGTTGTTAATTTTGCTTAGAGGCTGCATTTCTTTGAAACCGAAACACTTAACCACCTTAACTGCTCCAAGAGAGACTTCATGCCAGTCTTCTTTGAACTTGTCAAAGAGATAAAGTGTATTTCAGTGGGAGAAGTCCTTTTGGCCTTTACAGAGTTTTCCAGAACAGTAAGTGTAGATGTCTTCTGAGGCCAAGCGTGGTTGATTTTTGGGTTCTTTACCATTTTGTATTTGTGAGAGGTAGGGTTTTCAGTTAGAAGTATAATTTTAAGAAAGTCGGAAAAAAGATTGATAGAGGGAAGGAGGGGCCGGAGTAGAGAGTAGATTTTACTGAGGTAGGGAAGTGAAATCAAGTGCTTTTTAAAATATCCTTTAACTTAGTCCTAAAATTAACCAAGGAGATTGGTATCTCCCTCCCCACACTTTTCTATTCTTTTTCTTCTCCCCTTCTCTCCTTTCCCCTCCCCTCCCTTTTCTTCCTCTCTCCTCCTCTTTCTTCCCCTCCTCTTCCCGCTCCTTCCTTCCTTCCTTTCCTTTTCTTTTCCTTCTCTTCCCCTCCCCTCCCTTCCCTTTCTGCATGAGTTGTCGACTTTGACAAGTCTCATCTGCTGCCCTCCTTTCACTTACATTTGACTGTATTCTAATAATTAGTAGATCTGTATCTTTGACCTAGACTTGTTGTCTGAAGCTCCACACTCCTATATCCACCTCCCCACTTGATATTTCTATCTCCTTTTCACAGGCACTTCAGATATAAGTGCAAAACTACTTACCATCTATTTGTTTGATGAGAAGAAAGTATTGGATACGATGTTTAGGAATACAGTGTTGAGGCAGGCGTGCTGGAAATTGTGGAAGTAGTCTCATTGCCTAATTTGGATCTGCATCCCTTTCAGCTACAGAGCTATATGGACTGATCTCAGTTTTTGTAGAGGTTCCCTTGGGTTGTGTTGACTTTTTTTTGGGCTCAGAGTTTCCATGTGACTGGTCTTGAGGGATAATCTTGGCCCTGGTGAAGAATTCTTGATAAGGAATTATTGAGACAGCTCCTCCTCCACCACCCCTAACTGGTGTGTGCCCATAAGATGAAGTTTTTAGTTCCCGGACTCTGGGGTCCACTGCCCAACAGAGAGCGGCACTCTCCTTTTTCTCATCCTTTACCCCAGTGAGGGATATACCCACATCCGGAGCCTACTTCACAGTACTGGCCAGGCCACTCCCTTCCCCCGCATAATGTGGGGAGTCCTGAAGAGCAGTCAGGTCTCCTGTGTCTTCTGCACAAGCAGACTAAATACAGCAGGCCTGCCTTTTTCTTTTCCTCTTCTGACACCAGAAGTAGGAGCATGATACTCATGTGTCACCTTGGGGAACTCTGTACTCCACCCAGCAGAACAGGGGAGAGTAGGCAGAGGGCTATAGTGGTTCTGCATTATACTTGCAAGTTATGCAGTTTATTGCAAAAAGAAAAATTAAGTAAAAAGTCCATAAATGTTCCCAGACTCTTCTCCTACAACACTTGATTATTTAAAAATCGGTTTTATCTTAAAAGTGTTGGCTCCGGGCTTGATGAAAGAAGTATGGGTATAGTTTGTCATTCTATCAGTCAGTGGCCATAAAAGCAGATCCCAGAGATGAAACAGTTTGGGTGTAAAAGAAGGATGGAATGGAAGGTTGATCAGATCTGTAGATCATTTCATACCTGCACGGAGAAAGCCAGTTTCTGAAAGCCTGAAGCTCCAATTTTCTCCTCCTCCTTTGAGAACATCTAGAAGGAATGAAGTATCAGCTGCTTTTTACTGCTCATGTCAGTGTTGAAAATTGTACAAAACAGATTTGATTGATTACTCTGCCTAAAATCACTACGTGACATATCACTAACATAAACTGCAAATATATGATGACTAAATGCAGAAGAGTCTTATGTAAAGGAACAGTGTAATTGCAAACTATATAAGAAGCGAGATGTATGGAACTCCAGACTCTTTCAGCATCCAGCTGTCCCCTTCTGTCATTTCCTCCCCCCAACCTGCTCCTATTCGAGTTTTCTAGCTCAGTGAATGTGGTGCCACTCTCTACCCAAGTACCCATGCCAGAAACCTGGGGGTCTTTTCGTGATCTCTGTCTGGATGGCTTGGCCTCTTACTAGCTGATTTCCCAGACTCCGGTCTTGTTCCCCGTTAGGCCACTCTCCACACTGCAGTCACGTTGTAATTTCTTACAGCTGTTGCCTTACCTGCAGTCCAGAATCCTTAGTTTAGTTCCAAGGCCTTCCATGACCAAATTCTGCCTGCCTCCCGTCTCCCCGCCCTTCCTGTCTTCTGTGCCATTCACTACTCCAGCCTC